AAAGTATTTGGTTCAGCAAGTATATTTAAGTTTGTGACTAGTAACTAGAAGTGAGTAGTGCTGGTTGACTGATATCATGAGAGTTTGACTCTTTTGTATCTGTCAGAAATCCAGATCAGACCAGAATCACCCAAACAAATGTCGCTGTACATCATCATCATCATTTCATGTTCTGGAGTCATTATGATCTGTCTGATCATCACCATAAGCATCTGCATTCACAGGTGAGAGACATTTTTAACATTTCTTACCCTCAGAAACACTGACATGTAGTTTCAGCTCCAGCTCGTTTTATAGAGTGACGAACTGCTTACTTCATACCTGTTTCATTTTTTCGACTTTTTAAATGATCTGCTACTTTCTCAAATGTATATTTGTAGGCAGTGTGTATTCAAACATGAGTTCAAATAGCCAGCTTGAATGGCAAAAGTTGATTTCATTTACTCTGCTCACCATTGCTCAGATATTTTACCTTAAACACAAACAGCTCTTCACTTCTAATACAGTTTGTGTAAATAACATCTACCATTTTCACGCTTTTTAAATGTCTAAATAGCCCCTGCCATACTTTTATGTATACATGAACACTTTTAATTTAATTTAAGCAGACGCTTTTATCCAAAGCGACTTACAGTGCATTCAGGCTATTTTTTTTACCAGTATGTGTGTTCCCTGGGAATCAAACCCATGGCCTTTTGCGCTGCTAATGCAATACTCTACCATTGAGCCACAGGAACATTAACTTTTAGATTTCATTGTTTAACTCTTGCCCAGGACACAAACAATGCATAAACTCTATCACAAAAAAAGATAATTTAATTTCAAAGATTTAATTTTGTGAAATAATTTGTATGTATTTAGGATATATAAAATGCACTGTGATCATTTAATTCATCTTTAAGATGTAAATTTCATCACATTAAATATTGGTAGTGGGAAAATGAAGTAAACCTGTGTGAAAAGTGTTTTAAGGACTAAAAGAGGCCATACTTTTGACAGACATCCACACATACTACATAAACAGTGATCAGCCACGGCTTTTCGTATTAATTGAGCTGCAATCTGTTCTTCTCCAAATTCTTTCATTTAAACAGGAAACTGAGACAGAAGATAAATTCTGGTTCAGAGGATGTAAGTATTTATCACAGAACAGCTTATTATTTAGCACCTAAATCTGCTCTTGATTTAGTAAATTTCTAGCAATATATATATATATATATTTCTAATTGTGCATGATCTGTACAGGTGAAGATGATCTCTGACTGTGACAAACACACAGTAACAGTCTGTGTAAGTCAGTTGAACTCAACTCACACCTCCATCATGTTTACCACATCATGTCTGTCACTGGCCCCCAACAAATATCACTGACACACTTCTTGATGGAAAAAGTTGTGCAATCAAACTACTGCTCTGTAAAATCACTTTTGTTCCATCTAATTGAGAATGTGTCCTTTTTATATATAACAGCTATAAATATACATGATCATTTACAAACAGCACAGCAGATATTTGAACAGGAGCAGAAATGTCTGTTGTTTGTGTTTCATTGTTTTATATTTGTCTTCGTCAGGTCTACAGTCTTCATACAGTTTCATGAACATCTTTTCTTCTCAAGACAGCAGTGTGTGTGTCTGACACTCATCAGATGAGCATCTCAATACAGGAGGATGTTAGAGAACGAGACCATCACAATAATAAATATAGTCTCAGAGGATCTGTATATGTGAATGTGTATTTGCCTCTAAAATGCTGTTTGCTTATTTGATTTAAAATATCTACCAAATAAATTTCACTTTAATTTTCAGACAGAGGAATGTGAGTTATAAACTTTGATATGCCCAAATATAGATACAAAATTGTTTACGATTATCAAATAAACAATCAGCATTGACAGATTTCATAGAAAGTCACAAAGTGAATGATGGTCACAGACTCTGATTTTTTAGCTTCAAACTATGAATCCATCCAGTTGGAGGATATCAAACATGATTGATATTTTAAACTGATTTTAGAACACTTTTTTTTTCATTCATCACACATCTCCCAGCAACAAGGCATATATTTATGTTTGACTTTGTCGTGTTCGGAGTGACTTGAAAGTCTGGTTGTGTATCATCCAGTTGTTTAGTGTGTTTTCCCCTGTAACTATTTACAAAGTCAGCAAATGTACGATGCCTAGTGTTTTAAAATCTGTCCAGATTTTAAAAGTTGTGTAGTGTAACCCGGCCTTTAGTTAATGTTTATTTCAAGATTTACAAATACAATATTAAAATAAAAAAATTGCTGAAATTGACTGACTGCACCTTTTAACTGTAATTGGAATTAAGTCAGCAACAATAAAATAAAAATACAAAAAAGTAAAACGTTTCCAGTCTGTCAACGTGAGATTTCCTTCCATCACAGAGAATCCTGTCAGAATCACACACTATAAGCCAGAAGACACAACTGATCAGTCTCATATAGCACGGGAACACACTTTTTCCACACACTTACTACAGATGCTTCATCCTTTAATCATGGGTCTGTGGACAAATCTTTCTGTTATCTCTTTGATTTGAGCATCCTTTCAAATAATTTACTTCATTTGTATAGACTCAAATGTACAGAATATTTAAGAAACCCTCAACATCACCTGCATATATACAGTTCGTCTCCACATACCACATAATTGTAGTGTAAATGCAATATGATAAGTTTTAATAAAGCATATGAGGATCAAAAGCAACAATACTATTTGTGCATTTTTCACAATGCATATTAAGCTGAAAAATATTGCCATAATAATGTCTTAAATTACTTAAAGTCCTTAACTAGCAGTTCAGTTTAAAGCAAAATAAATAAATACATATTGTACATAAAAATAAAATAAACATATAATAATAATAATAATACCAGTAAACCCCCATACAAGTCAACATCTGTGGTAACAAATTAATAAACTAATATGTGTTTGCATCTTCACGCAGAAGCTCATGTTTGTTGTACAAAGGTAGTGTGATAATTGTGCATTATCCACTACGAACAGCACTTCAGAAGAAGCTTTTTAGAAAAATAAAACTAATCAACAGCAGAATGCATGCTTGACCATCTAATATCTTCATGCTAGACCTTGTTGTAGTCAGTGCAATCAGCAGAGATTGAGTGAAATGGTCTCACAGAGATGCAACACCTCCCCTTTGTGGTTGATGTGTGAAGTGCTATTTAGTGGTTAATTATGATTTAGCTTGGGGTTTTGCCTCAATTGCCTCAACCAGGAGTATAGTGTAAAGAGGTCATTGGCTCCATATTTATGAAAAAATTATCCATACATGCATGAATTTTGCAATATCTGAAAATGTCCTTGATACGTGGTCATCTGTTATTGTGTAATACTGGTCAGTCAAATCTTTGTGTTTGTCACAATACGAAAATAAGTATGAACAGTCAGTAGGTCATTATTGCAAAATAAACCATAGCTGTACTAATGTACACAAATGTTACACGACTACTTGCCAAATAAACACATGCAGACATCAAACATTAATTTGAGTTGAAATTATTTTGAAAAGATTTCAGATTGTGGAACCATTTTTATTTATTTGCAAAGAATGTGAAGTGCTCTTGGTCATGAGAAACATTCTGAGCTTTGTGTGGATAATTATAACCACACTGCTTTACTGTTCGTATAGACCTACCAGACCTTCCCCGACATCTTAGGCTGTCAAATGAAAGCCTGGAGACTGATTTTTATGTGAAGAAGTCTCTCACATGAAATGAGTGCTTACAGTGTTCAGGTTCATGCTAAAGGAAGCATTTTGTAGTTACATGTGCACGAGCAACTAAGTTGTTGGCTGCAGTTCACTTAATAGCCACCTGTGTCCCTAAATACAAGGGTCTCTGAATTATACTTGTATTCCCTTTAACCTCTTCTTCTTACCAGCATATTCAATATGTCTTCAATTATTCATGATAATGAGCATGTGCATGAAAAGAAGTTCCTGTTCAGACAGAAAACAATTTGATGATAAAATTTGTAAAACCAGACACATAATTTCAGTTTTAGTTTTTTATTGTTCAAACATTTGGTCTCACCAATGTTGTGTATATTCATTTTGAATAATGTTACATTATAAACTCACAGTTAACCAAACAATAAAGATGTAGAGAACATCTGTTGAATTCAATGAATCTCATTGTATATGTGGATGTGTGACAATTATTATGACATTTTTTGAGGCAGGTGTTGAGGAGTTGACATTGGCCTTCATACAGTTCCTCAATGTTGCACATATGTTGTATGGTTGTAATAGTGCACATCAGAAATACAGCAATAAACATAAAATTATGTTTAGTCACCCGGATACAATATATTATACTCATAAACATTACATAGACATAAGCTAAACATTTACAGTAATGTTCTGTAAGAAACTCTAATCTAAGCGACTTATCAATGAAGAACATCACAAGTAATGAGACAACTACAACACATTTTCATACCAGAGGTTATAACAGACCAGAGCAATATAGAGAAATATACATATAAACCCAGTAAACAGGGAAGTCAGTGACAGGATGTAACAGTTCTGCTGTGGAAAATGTGCTCTGTGGTTTCACTGGTCACTGCAGACAAAAGCACAAAACTAAACATATTTGTATATCTTACATTACCATCCGTTATATATAAGTATTGTATTTAGATGACCTGTGTTTGCATTCACACTTTGAACAGTTGATCTTCAAAAAAAATGTTTAGGCAGCATTTAAAAAAAAATTTAAATATGTGGATATGATCAATGCAAACTGCATTCTGTGTAATTGACAGTGGGATTTTTATGTCCAATACTCTTCTATTGTATAAAAGTATATTCTCATCTGCTGTCTTAGGCATCGCCCTCTGTCTTCATCTCTTCCTTTTCTAGTTCAGTCTCTACAGCACGTCTGCAAGCCTTCGAGATCCTGAGCGGAGATTAAAACAGTTTACACTCCTTCACGGCCCTTAAACTGAGTGTCCTGTTATGGCCAGTTTTCAGACCAGGATTCTTCGTCTGCATCTCTGTGTTGTTATTATTCTCCTGACTCAAGCAGGTACCATTCACTTGTTTTTGCATTCTGATAAATGTCCAGCATAATTTGATGACTAAATGATATTGGTTACTATTTTACAATTTAGTGCAGATGTTGAAAAGTTTGTGTTTGTATTCTAATGTGTTTTGTTTAAAAGATTAAACACCACATGAACAATGTATTATGTGTCTCATGAGCTTTCGCACGTTTGTTGTTTTCTACTGCACAGTTTTACCATTCAGTGAAATTACTGTAAACCTGCAGTGATTGTGGTTTTCTGTCTTTTCATCAGATTATTCCAAATACAATCAAGAGCAAATGATTCAGCAGCACATCAACAAAACAGTGTTTGTGGGGGAAACAGTTACACTTCACTGCAACAAAACCCAATATGATGATGATTTCACATGGAAAATGAACAGCTTTGTTATTTTTAGGCAGGACTCTGAAAGAAACAGAACAATGAGAAACTTCAGCTCAAACAGGATTCACATCGACCCAGCAGCTCCAAGAGAATTAATAATACATCAAATACAAGCATCTGATGCAGGAAACTACAGCTGTTACCCAGCAGCAATAAGATGGACATTAACAATAACAGGTTATTACATGATTATATTTATTGACTATATCCTTTATAAAAGAGTTCAGTAAAGCAAGTATACGTTTTTAACTATAGTGACTAGTAACTAGTAGTGATTAGTGCTGGTTGATTGATAACATGAGTGTTTGACTCTTTTGTGTCTGTCAGAAAATCAGATCAGACCAGAATCACCCAAACAAATTTCGCTGTACATCATCATCATCATCATCATCATCATCATTTCATGTTCTGGAGTCATTATGATCTGTCTGATCATCACCATCAGCATCTGCATTCACAGGTGAGAGACAATGAGTTTTTATTTACATTTATTACCTTCAGAAACACTGACGGTAGGAATGTTCCTGCTCATGCTATAGAGTGATAAACTGCTTCCTTAATACCTTCCTTTATTCTTTATACACTAATTTTCATAATTTTACATCATTTGCTACTTTTCAAATGTATATTTGTAGGCAGTGTCTATTCAAGCATGAGTTCAAATAGCCAGCTTTGCTGACAAAGGTTATTTTTTATTAACTCTGCCCACCATTGCTCAGTTATTTTATCTTAAACACAAACAGCTCTTAATTTCTAATTGCAGTTTGTGTAAATAACATCTACCATTTTTACAGTTTGTAGATGTCTAAATAGCCCCTGCCATACTTTTATGTATACATGTACTTTTAGATTTCATTGTTTAACTCTTGTCCGACACAAACTTTCGATTTTAAAATAATAAACATAAATAATGTATTTAGGATATATAAAATGCACTGTCATCATTTTATTCCACATAAATTCCATCACATTAATATTGTTAGCAGGGACAGACTGGGAGTAAAAAACGGCCCTGGATTTCCCTCCAAATAGGCCCCACCACAACTACAAACAGCCACTACTATCTCACAGTATTACAGCCGTCAATGCATCGCATTTATGGCAAATAACATCACAAAACCCATAGTGATTGAAATAAATGAATTATATGAACTAAAATGCTTGAAATCTACATAAAAAGAGAATAATGAAAAAAATGTATATGACATATAATGATAAACGTAAACATAGAATCTAGAAACCTGAAACAACAGAACTATTCTACAATTTGAGTATTCATGTTTTGTGTGTGTTGTGTGTGTGTGTGTGTGTGTGTGTGTGACAGCGCTTGTGTCCGTTGTAGACATTACTATCCATCACAGTGTTGCCAAGTCCACTGTTTTCCCTTGGAATTGGGCTACTTTATCACTGTTGCCACGGGTTGTTTTTCATGTCCGCGGGTTGAAGCGACCCCAATGACGTGTATTTTAGCCCCTGGAATGCAAATTTTACCAGGCGACCCCCTCGAAACGTGGTTAGTTTGGGCTAGTTTTGGGCTAGTTTTGAGTAGTAATTGCGCGGGTTTTGTTATGAAAAACTGGCAACCCTGTCTGTCAAGCAGATAACGTTATTATTGCTAACATAGCTGATTCATCGAAAAATATATTAGCATCATCTGTATTAAGTGAATAAAATAGCCTTGACAGCCTGGAGTTATTATTGGAGCAACTATTGACTTTGTTCTCTCTCACCGGACTTGTGTGTGTGTAGGTGATGTAAAAGAGGAAAGCAGGCATTTGGACCAAAGCACTGTGAGGCAAGGGAGGGGGAGACTCAAAATGTTTCTAAACTTTAAATGCTTTTTTGCCCCGTTTGAGTTGTTTTAGTACACAATTATTTATAGTATAAAACATTGTTATTTACAATACACAGCGTGGTTTTTAATCATATTTTTAAGGGGGACAATCCCCTTAAAAAAAAGTTATTTTGCGTCTCAAGATTAGGGCTACAGCTGCCTGCAGTTGCATTACTTCTGGCAACACTATTGCCAAACATCGGTTATTTTTTGCATTTTGTAGCGCCGGTCTCTACACTTTTTTTTTTCGTTCTCTAAAGACTTCGCCTTTATCTTTAGATTTGTTGCTTGCCATCACGAGTCCACTCTCCTTCGCATCAGTTTCGGTTTATTACAAGCAAAAAAAGATTGCATTAGTGCCCTCTTTTGTTAGCCGTCAATGTCACTAAACACAATTTTTCTTTGATGATGAACCAGCCAGTCCGACGTTCTGGACTTCTCCAGAAGGTCCAGATGGCCAGTCCGCCCCTGATTGTTAGTGGAAAAATGAAGTAAACTTGTGTGAAAAGTTTTAAGAGACTTTAAAGGACTAAAAGAGGCCATACATTTGACAGACATCCACACATACTACATAAACAGTGATCAGCCACTGCTTTTCTTATGAATTTTCGGTTCTTCTCCAAATTCTGTATTATTTTAACAGGAAACTGAGACAGAAGATCAACTCTGGTTCAGAGGATGTAAGTATATTTACCACTGAACAGCTTATTCTTTAGCACCTAAATCTGCTCTTGATTTAGAAGTTCAACTTCTAGCAATATATATATGCAGTATACAGTATTTTATTTTATTTTTTCTAATTGTGCATGATCTGTACAGGTGAAGATGATCTCTGACTGTGACAAACACACAGTAACAGCCTGTGTAAGTCAGTTGAACTCAACACACACCTACATGTTTACCACATCATGTCTGTCACTGGCCCCCAACACATACTGAATCATTGACTCACTTCTTGATGGAAACATGTTGTGCAATCAAACTACTGCTCTGTAAAATCACTTTTGTTCCATCTAATTGAAAACTGTGTCATTTTTATAAATGAGCAGTTATAAATATACATGATCACTTATAAATTGCTCAGAGGAGTTTTGAACTGTTATTTGTGTTTCACTTGTTTTATATTTGTCTTCATCAGGTCTACAGTCTTCATACCATTTCATGAGCATCTTTTCTTCTCAAGACAGCAGTGTGTGTCTGACACTCATCAGATGAGCATCTCAATACAGGAGGATGTCTGCCAGTCATTTTCATGCTGGGCATGATGTCTGAGGCTGAGACTATTTTCATGCTAGAGATGCTAGAGGACCGTCAAAATAAGTATAAGTTCAGTCTCAGAGGATCTGTATGTGAATATGTATTTGCCCCTAAAATGCTGTTTGCTTATTTGATATAAAATATCTAGCAAATAAATTTCATTTTCATACAGAAGAATATGAGTTTTAACCTTTGATATGCCTAACTAGATACTAGATCATTTATCATTATCAATATAAATAATCAGGGGGTTGTGGTGAAAATAATACAGAAAAGATCCATCAGGGTAAAAAGATGCTGGAAAACACAAGGTGGTGCCATAATAAACACTGAGCTGCATGCAACACTACCAACAGGAAAGATGAATAAGAGTCCTACTGAAAATTGTGTTGTTGTTTTAGCAGAGATGGTGAAACAAAGCAAAAAAGAATGAAGTAGCATTTGACATATTTCACTTTTCACATGAACACTCACTTGTGTTTGGATCTGCTTGTCTTGGATAAACTAAATAATACAGGCATAAACTGGTATATATCTGATGAAGCAGGTGGTAAAGTATGTACACTATCATTTGAAGTGCATATGCGACTTAGGAATCAATAACTGCAAATAAAAAAAAAATAACTTTTTTATTACAGACAATTAATTTAATTTTATTTTTTTTATATGTCAGACAACATTCATTGTTTAAATCATTTTATTTTGGCCTGATTTTCTTTGCCTCTACCTGATGTAGATTTATTTTAAAGCAGGTGAGGAATTAAATTTGTGAAGCGATTGATATATGATATAAACACTTTATGATATATGTAGTTATAAGTTTTCTGACACAATCATTGTGTTTTTCAACAGGTAATGTATGCTTCCATTTAGTCTCAAATCATTGCTTAATGTCAAATATGGCACTATAAACCTCAAACATCATGACGCCTGATCACATGACAAGCGAGGCTTGAGGCTGGAGTTTTAGGGTGCAAATGTAATTGATAATAAAAGAATCAGAGAGTTGAGGATGGGAAATGATGGCTCTCTTTCAGAGATACAATATGTCCCATTTGCAGTGTTGTAATGTAACGAAGTAATAATACTTTGTTACAGTACTTAAGTATTTTTTAGGAGTATCTGTACTTTTTATATTTCAGGCAACTTTTACTTTTACTCCACTACATTTCTTAATTAAAATGTATACTTTTACTCCGATACATTTCCCCGAAGCATATTCGTTACTTAATACAAAATAGTCAGAAATCATAAGAACACGGACTGCAGGAAAACAGGTTTGACGAATCAGTGGTCTGGCGTCTGCTAGACTCCTAAAAACACCTTTGCTCCTGCAAACAAGTGCGCGCACAACCGCGGATGATTAATTTTCCTCTCAAGTCGAGGCTGGGGTGTGCGATAAAGCATCGTCTGCGATAAAGTTTGATTAAAGGGTTTGCTGCTAATTCCTGTCATGGTATGTCAAGCACATGGATGATGGTGTGAATTTATACAGGTTATTTCACATTATCTAGTAATTATTAAGTTTTTTTTGCTTTAGTAAACTCATTAGCTCTCTTATATGCATTGCCCTCTCTCTTCACTTCTTCCTTCACTAGTTCAGTCTCTACAGCACATCTAAAAGATCCTGAGTTAATACTCTTTCACAGTCCTTAAACTGCGCGTCCTGATTCTGTTATGGCTGAGTTTCAAACTAGGATTCTTCGTCTGGATCTCTGTGTTGTTATTATTCTCCTGACTCATGCAGGTACTGATTTAAGATCATTGCTTCTTTCATCTCCTAACTTGTTTTATGATGTCTTCGTCTCACTTTGTTAAACAGGATTATACATGTTAATATGAGTATAAAGTATAAGATATTTGATGATTAAAAATTTTATTTATTATCTTACCATTTAGTGCAGTTGTTGAAAAATATTATGATTGCATTCTAATGTTTTTTTTTTGCATCAGGTTAAAAGATTAAGCACCATGTGAACAATATCAGTGCCATGTGCCTCATGTTTCTACTGCATGATGACAGTGAAATAATTTTCACAATTTTACTATCACCAGCAATTTTACAGTGCAGTTATTCAAAAACTACTGTGATTTTGTGTGTCTGTTCATCAGATTATTCCAAATCATTTAAAGAGCAAAGGATTCGGCAGCACATCAACAAAACAGTGTTTGTGGGGGAAACGGTTACACTTCACTGCAACAAAACTATCACATGGAGATTGAACAACACCATTATTTTTGGTCATGACTGATACAGTAACAGAACAATGAGAAACTACAATACAATACATCAAATACAAGGGGCAGTTGTGGCCTAATGGATAGAGAGTTGAACTTGTAACCCGAAGGTCGCGGGTTCGAGTCTCAGGTCCGGCAGAGATTGTACTAAAGGGAGTGAATAACCAGTGCTCTCTCCACCTTCAATACCACGACTGAGGTGAGACACTGAACCCCCAACTACCCCATTGGCTGCCCACTGCTCTGGGTGTGTGTTCACGGTGTGTGTGTGCACTTGGATGGGTTAAATGCAGAGCACAAATTCCAAGTATGGGACACACTTCACTTTCACAAGTGTCTGACGCAGGAAACTACAGCTGTTACCCAGCAACAATAGGATGGATGTTAACAATAACAGGTAATTCCGTGACTTTTTATTATTATTATTATTATTAAAGCAGTTCTATTAAAGCAGTGCAACAATTACAGTATACGCATGTTTGTCTGATAGTGATTAGTGCTGATTGATTGATATCATGAGTGTTTGACTGTTTGGTGTCTGTCAGAAAACCAGATCAGACCAGAATCACCCAAACAAATGCCACTGTACATCATCATCATCATCATCATCATCATCTCATGTTCTGGAGTCATTATGATCTGTCTGATCATCAGCATCAGCATCTGCCTTTACAGCTGAGATAATTTTTTGATTGTATTTTGGTGGTGTTTATGAATATCCTTAAAATATTTCACATTTTTAAAATATTTATACAATGGTTCTTCCAGCAACTCCAGGCAACTTATCATTATTAAAACAAACAGATTTCTACTTTTTCATATTGTTATGCTAGTCAGATTAAAACTGTCTTGGACACATTTCCCCTGCCTTCATCAATTATTTCTACTATTTTCAAATGTATTTTCTGCATTTATTTTATTGCTGTACTCTTGTCCTGGTCCCATGACTTTTAATAATAAAAACTGTATT